TTAATCAAAAACTTAGTTTAAGTAATCAGAGCTTTTGTCCCTAACATAATTTGTCATGTTAAAGTTGTTTTACTAAATATTAGGGTGAACAGATGTTGGAATATCGATTGCAAGCTTACCATAGATTCATGTACTGATTTACTAAGGAATAACTCTCACCAATGCTCTCAAAAAAGAAATAACTAATATTCTAGCTTTACATTTATCACAGGACAATTTGGTGTTGAATAACTTCTTGACTGTCTCCTTCACATCTCTGTTCCTGAGGCTGTATATAAGTGGATTGAGCATGGGGATGACCACCGTGTAAAAGACAGAGGCCACCTTGACCATGAGCCATGAATTTTTGGAGTTAGGAACACAGTAGAGAAAAAGAATGGTCCCATGGAAGATGGTGATGGCAGTCAGGTGGGAGGCACATGTGGAGAAGGCTTTGTGGCGCCCCCCAGTTGAAGGCATCTTCATGACTGTGATAAAGATGAAAGCATATGACATAAGAACAATCATCAGGCTGCTTACTTCATTGAATGTGGCGGTAACTAAAATGATCTTCTGGCTAATGTAGGGGTCAGAACAAGACACAGAGACGATGGCAGCATGCTCACAGACAAAGTTATTTATGATATTATTTCCTCTGAAAGATAATTCCAATAGAAAGTAGGTAAGGGTCAGGGAACACACAATACCCCAGGAATATGATGCAACCACTAAGAGGGAGCAAAGCTTGTGAGACATGACTACCGTGTAGAGCAGAGGGTTACACACTGCCACAAATCTGTCATAGGCCATCGCCGCCAACATGAATGTTTCTGTCACCACAAATATGCAGGCAAAGAAGAACTGTGTGATGCATCCTATGAAGGAGATGGTTCTGTCTTCCACAACCAAGTTTTCTAATAGTTTGGGTGTGACGACTGTAGAGTAACAGAAATCAACAAAAGACAAATGGCTGAGAAAGTAGTACATAGGGGTGTGGAGTTTGGGGTTGATCTTGATAACCATGATCATGCCCAGGTTCCCCAGCACAGTGACCATGTAGATGGCTAAGAATAACAAGAACAGGGGCACTTGGAGTTCTGGATATTGTGAGAAACCCAAAAGGATGAAAATCATGTCAGCGCTCTGGTTTTCTTGGTTCCTGTGGACAAAACAGGAAAGTTGGCTCAGAGAAATGAGAAACAAAATTTGGATAAGGCAGGTTAAAATAAACAAATGTGGAGAGATGTAAGTGAATATATAAAATGTTTTGGAAAATACTTTGCTTTCATTTGCTATATTATTTTAGAAGCTAGATTTGATGATATCACATTACTAGAGTGAATATGACATTTGCGCAGGTAAAATAATAAAAGAAGGTAGTTGAAAGAGAAGAACAAAAATAGAGTTCTCTGTTATATTTTAAATGCTCAGACTCAGTATTCTCAGAGACAATTAGCATCATGAGAAGGATCAGTCTAGCTTTTTAACTGAATATGAGGAAATACATATCATAAGTTTCTATAATTTCTTCCCTGCCTAAGCAATTTAACAAGGAGAAGTTAGAACTCAAAAGAAAATTAATGTTATAACAAAATGATCATTACAATTTTTCTTTTTTTCTCACTATTGTTGCTAGAGCTATTTCTAAAGTTCCTTTTGGGATAAAAGCTTATAATAATACTAAAGAAGTTAGACTTGCCTATTAAATCAGGACCACTCTGTAAACTCACAATGCACAGAGATATATCTTGAGTCCTGCTAAACAAGTTATCATAAAAACCCCATGGAACCTAATCTTCCTGAAGTAGCATAAAATAAGGACATTTAGAGGGGAAAGGATGCAGTGGATTTTTTTTTTAATGTCTTATGCTCTTCCAAAATGCTTCAACTGCCTTTTTCTTCCATTATAAGCAATTATTCTCAACACCATTTCCTGACTGCTGACTAAAACCTAACATGGAACTAAGCATAAAGGCAAAGTCATTCCATGTAGAATTCTACAAAATTCTAGGTCTTATTATGAGCTGAAATTAAATACCCCATAGTTTTTATTCAATTTTCACACCTTTCTCCTCCATGATCACAGGCAGCACTGAAAGGTTTCCTGCATATATAACCATACCATTCACATCTCCTTGTACCTTTTCTTCTTTGTTTCTTTAAATTCCTTTTATTTAATCCTTGTGGTTTGATCTTCCATGGCATTTATTATAATTTTCTGACTGTATTTTTCAACATCACATAAAACTCATTGAATGCGAATCCATCACTGAGCACATTTTTGCTCACTTTTTACAAAATCTATATTTATTCCCTATGGTTGTTGTAAAAATGCCTGGACATCTCAAGGTTGACAAGGAAACAGTCATCATCAAAGATAAACATACCAAAGTGTTCTTCTATAGATGATTGGATAAAGACGTGTTGCAAATATACAATGGGCTATTACTCAGCCATAAGAAAAGATTTAATACTACCATTTGCAACAACATGGATGGTTCCTGACAATATTATGCTAAGCAACTTAAGTCAGAAAAAGTAAAGAACCATATAATTTCACTCATATGTGGAATATAAAACTGAAAACAACAAATGAACAAACAAGAAAAACAAATAAAAACTCATAGACAGAAGGGAGGGATTGAGGGGTAATAAAGAGTAAAAGGAATCAAATAAATGGTGACATAATATCTGACTTTGGGTGGTGGGCACACAGTGAACTATACATATGATGTTTCATAGAATTGTTTACTTGAAATCTATAAAATTTTATTAACCTATGTCACCCCCAATAAATTTAAAGAAAGATAAATATAATTTCTGATAAATATTCATCTCATTCCTATCCACATTATTTTTCCACGTGTGTAGCTTTTCATTCTACCTCCTTCCCTCTGTATTTACACTATCAGACTGGGGGCCAAAGTTCACAGTCCCTCATTTAGGCCCATGAAGTGTCAACATGCTTATTAACTGAAAGTGCTATGCACCCTCTTTGCCTTCTTTTCAGGGACATCTAACCTGGAGTAGCTTTCTCATTTTATATCATTTATTTTCTCATTTAATAGTTACTCTGTGCTCAACACTGTTATAGGCATTTTAGAAAGCATGCATTATAAAATATGAATCTCACCCCCAAATCTGTCCCTTCTGAGAATTATCTTGAGGGATTATATATATATAATTACAAATGTTAATAACACAACATGTAATTCTTGTTTGTCATTAAAATTAAACCTTATGCATATAAACAGAAGGATAAGAATATTGTGATCAACAAAAACTGAAATGTTCCTAATGATGTAGGTCAGTGAATATTCAAACACTTCCAGTTGGCTAAATAGGTATCCTGGCAGTTAGATTGCCACACGTTTTTGCCTCCTGCAAAGATTACTGGAGTACTTATCTTCTTTCAAAAGTGAAATAAACTAAGATTGAATAAACTCACCTGAGTGTAGAAGAATTTGACTTATTCATTTGCTAAAGCTGCTTTGCTAAAATTAATGAATTCCAGGAAAGTTCCTGCTGAGAATTCAACTTTTAAAAATATATATATGGTAACAAACCTGTGAAAATATTAACAGGGGTCTACAGTATGTTGTAATATTTAAAGGAAATTTTATTTCCTCTAATCTTTTGTAAATAAACTTAGAGATGACAGACAGAAAGGGAAATCAAAAAGCTGAATCCTAGCACCAACCAGTGTGACACTTATATGCCACCCAGACCTTAGGGATGTTAGCCCTGGAGAATATCATTGAAGTATTGCCTTGGAGACCACAGAGCAGTTAGATGAAGTAATGTCTCATGTGATATTTTGGTTGCATATAATTTATTCTAAAGATTGGGAAACAATTTCATCATCAACTTTAACCTATTAATCTTTTAAAAATGTTAAACCAGAATTAAAACGTTTTGACTTTAAAAACCTATAAAATACAGAAATGTACAAAAGAAAACTCAACTACTGGATCAAAATTTAGAAAGAACTATTTTTAACCCTGCTTCTATTTCTGGTTTTACCGCTCTACGTAAATATATATTTATTACTGTGTACCTTGATATAAAACTTACACAATAAGTATCATATTATTGTTATACTGCCTACTATCCCTTCCTTAACATTATACTGTGAGCTTCATTTTCCATAAAAACAATTTTCTTAAAATAGTACAGTTTGCATTACTCTTCTAAATATGAGCACAGTGATACTCACTGCTTACATTTATTATTGACAAATAATAATATTTATTGAATAAAGGACTTAAACCTTAAACGTCAGACAGGAAACCATAAAAATCTTAGAAGTCATAGGCAGCAAAATAGCAGACATTTGTTGTAGCAATATCTTTAGCGATACAGCCGCTAGGGCAATGAAAACTAAGGATTAAATAACCAAATGGGACTACATCAAATTAAAAAGCTTTTGCATGGCAAAAGAAACCATCAACAAAACAACAAGAAAGCCCATTGCATGGGAGAACATATTTGCCGAAGTTATCCCCGATAAGGGTTTAATCTCCAAAATTTATAGGAACTCCTACAACCAAACAAAAGGAAGATAAACAACCCAATCAAAAAATGGGTAAAGGACCTAAATAGACACTTTCTCAAAGCAGACATACAGAAGACCTCTGCCAAGAGACATGAAAACATGCTCGAAGTCACTAACCATCTGAGAATGCAAATCAAAACACCTATCAGAATGGCTGTCATCAACAAATCAATAAATGACATGTAAACACTCCACAATTGGATAATTATAGAAAAACACCTGCTTCTAATTGTCACTGTCCCATGGTAGCTGACAGCCATATGCAAAAACAAGAAGCAGTCATCACACTGGATGATACTAACCACGGGACCCTAAAGTAAAGGCTTTGGAGTGCCCTCGGTGGTCATGGATCTGTCTCTAACTTCAGCAGTGTTTTAGAAGGAACAGACCTAGGGCTTCCTCCCCTTCTTCCAGCATCCAGACACTCTCCAGTTTCTCATCTAGTCACCACCTTCAGAATCGCCTCTGAAACCAGCCAACAAACAATTTTTTCTACCTTAATTCCTTATTGCCGAACAACCACGAGCTCCCAAATTCATCAGGATTATTCCACCCAGGTGGAGGCTGCCGTCAACCGCCTGGCCAACCTGCATCTGCGGGCCCCACACCTACCTCTCTCGGGGTTTCTATGGATGATGTGGCTCTCGAGGGTGTGGGCCACTTCCTCTGGGAGTTGGTGGAGAAGAAGCGAGAGGGCGCTGAGCATCTCTTAAAGCTGCAAAACCAGCGCCCTGGCCGCATTCTCTTCCAGGACGTGCTGAGGCCTCCCAGGATGAGTGGGCAAACTCAGGACGCCAGGGAAGCCGCCCTGGCTTTGGCGAGGAGCCTGAACCAGGCCCTTCTGGAGCTGCGAGCCCCGGGTTCTACCCGCGCGGACGCTCAGCTCTGTGACTTCCGTGAGAACCACTTCCTGGGTGAGGAGGTGAAACTCATCAAGAAGATGGGCAACACCTGACTCACCTCTGCAGGCTGGCGGCCCCCAGGCTGGGCTGGGCGAGTACCTCTTGGAAAGGCTCACCCTCAACAGGACTAGGAGCCTTTGGGGCCCAGAGGCCTTTGCGGGGCCCCTCTGCCTCCCCTGGTGTCTGGCTTTTACCTGAGCCTCTTCCCGAAACTACTAGCCTTTCTTTTAACCACCCTAGACTCCACTTCCATACATTGGACCAAATGAAACAATAAACGTTTTTGCAGCAAAAATGAAAAAGAAAGAAAGGGAAGGGAGGAGAGGAGAGGAGAGGAGAGAGGAGGGAGGGGGAGGGGAAGGAGGAGAGGGAAGGGGAAGAGAAAGAAGGGGAGGGGAGGAGAGGGGAGGGGAGGCGAGGGAAGAAGAAAGGGTATCATTAGCATCTGCCCAGGGTGAGCTTTGGCCACCTCCTTTCTGGCATGGATAAAACTCATCTTTGGTGCCTTCATTTATTATTCTTTAAATTTTGCTATTATAAAAATATGGAAATATGAACTGAGTGTATTTCATTTCAGAAATGTCTAATTGTATCAAAAGTCTTTTTTTAATCATTCAATTTGAAATTTTAAAAGCAATAAAAATGTAAGTGGTTGAAGAAATAAAAAATATTAAAAAAAGAAAAAGAACCTATATATTGTTTAAGAATCTGTCATATCTTAACATACAAATATCTCAATCTCCTTACTTGATTTAATAGAAAGGTGTCAGCAAACTTACTGTGAAGATTCATCTAGTAAATATTTTAGGCTTTGCAGGCCATATAGTCTCTATCTTAACTCTTTAATTCTATATGTCTTAGCATGCCTGCCGCCCTAGGCAATACATCAATAGGCATGGCTCTGTTCCAATAATATTTTATTTATAAAAAGATAGTAGACAAGATTTGATTTGTAACTAATAGTGTGTCAACCCATGCAAAGCAAATTGATTACTTGATTGTGTAAGGTCCAAAATTATTTGCAGTTCAGTAGGCAGATGTCCTTTGAGTAGTAATACAGAAACATGGCTTATAATGTGATTATTATAACGTAATTATAATATAGTGGGACAAACAATAATTTGCTTTAAATATATTTCACTTTTCTGCATTGTCACTATGCATAAATTGTTTTTACTTGTTTTAATTTTTTACTTAAACTCTTATCAAGCATATTAAGAGTTCTATTTTTAGATCATTGAATAATGTCAAAGATTTTTCCTGTTTGGCAAAATCATAATATGACTTTGAATTTGAGGGCAGACTATACTAAGATAGATTACAGGAACAAGGAAGAAAAGCAAAAGACTTTTTTTTTTTTATTATTGTTGAGAGTATAACAGATGCTCCCCCTATTTTTCTCCCCCTTAGCTCTCACCATCTGATTCCCTCCCTGCCCCAGGCCTCCACCACCCTATTGTCTATGTTCATGGTCAATGCATATATACATATAAATTATTTTATGAAACTCTTCTCCCCCCACTTCCCTCTGAGATTCATCAGTCTGTTCCATGTTTCCATGCCTCTAGTTCTATTTTATTAATCAGTTTATTGTGTTCATTAGATTCCACATATAAGTTAGATCATGTGATATCTGTCTTTCTAGTATACTGCTGGTTTGAATACAGACCTGTACAGCCACTGTGGAAAACAATGTGGAATCTCTTCACAATTAAAAATGGAACTGCCATTTGACCCAATGATCCCACTTCTAGGAAAAGATTTTTTAAACAGAGAAGATAGTATGGACCAAAGTAGGAATTTGGATGTTCATATTTCTATCAATTAGAAGTAGGTTTTAAGCAGGTAGCAGTACAAGATAAGGTTGGAGGATCAGAGGAGCCAAAATTTGTAAGGAATGCAGTTGGGATTTGTGTTGGTTGTAATATGGTTTTGTGCCAAAAGGACAAGTGTGGAATCATGAAGAGGTTGTGGTTGTAAAAAGGTGTAGGTATTGGGAATGAAATTTGGTTCTAATATTATAATCACAGGATTTAATTTTACTGCATAAATTGTTTATGCAGACAGAAGGAGGTAGGCTCCCATTCTCATTTTAGTTCAGAAGGGAGCATTTTATTCTTGATAGCCTTTCATCGCAGGTAAGCCAATGGTTCCAATAACTAATGATAATTATACAAGTGCCTTGCAATGTCAAGAAATCAACAGTGGTTTTATATATGAGAACTACAGCATCTAGCATCTCATAACCTAATCAAGGGCCTGAAGATGTCTCTAATACAGAAGAAAAACAGAAGGGAACTCTCAGTAATGTCCAAACATTTCAAGGCTAAAATGTGAAAGGCTGACCTTGTTTTTTGTATCTTCAAGAGAAAGAATTCATTCTATTACTTTAAAAACTACAGAAAAGCCAATTCAATACAACAAAATATAACCTTCCATAGAATCCAAAAACTCCTATAGCCCCTAGATTGTTCAATTGCACTAATGGGACATAAGAAAGGGCTATTCAGATAGAAACTTCAATGTAAGTGAAAGGAAGGGAGTAGCTCTTGAGAAAGAAAACAGAAACAATAAAACTGCATTTCCCATCTCCTGTTACAACTAGTAAACCTCGTGTTTGTATCATGCTCTCAATAAGAGCACTTCATTTTTGGTATTCTCAAAACATCCTATTGTTTTTAAATTATCTTCATGCTTCTCAAAACCCAGAATGTGGCTACCGAAAATCATCTTCTTAATCCTCTGGAGGCCGCAGTTTACACTCTCCTGGCCCACGGATAAGGTCCCCAAAGTGGGTCCACACCGTGATGCAAAAGAAGGTGGGAGAGCGGGAGGGCCCCCACCCCAGCCCTACACCCCTGAGATCCGAGGCACGTGTGCCTTGCTGAACCTCAGCCTGGCCTACCACTCCCTGAACTTGCACCAGTATTGTGGCTCAAGGCTCCTGAGGCCACCTTTACCTTGGCCGGAATCTGGGTTATCCTTTTGGGAATTTCTTAAGTCAGATGACTGTGGATGTGCAATTCTTAAAGTAGGGGCAGACCCTGGGTGAATCAGAAAACTCTGAAACAGCTGTAGACAAACTGGCCAATACTCTGCTTATTGCCGATGTGTATTACATTGTTGGTGGCCTGTTCCCAGGATCAGGAGCCGTCATCACAGGGAGCAGAAGTGGCCTAAGGGCATTTGGCCTCTAGATCCTTTCAATGGAGCGTGGTTCCGAGTTGAGACAAATCATAATCCCTGGAAGCCAGCACTTGAGAAGGATGACAGGAACACCTGCCCTCAAACCCTTCCTCCCACAGGCCAGGCAAACCTCTTCCAGGTTTTTCCAGTGTTTCTGACTGCATGCTGGCCACCCAGGCAAGTGCATGACCAGGATCAGAAATCTGGTTAAAAGGAAGGAAACAGAAGAGTGAACTCACCTGCTATGAAAGGTGGTTTTTAAAAAAAATGAAATTACTGAAGAGCTGTACTTTAAAAAAATAAAACTGTAAGGACAGTATTATTTTATGAGCAATGCAGGCTCCTTCCTCATTAAACTTCTCAAGTGTGTGAGATGGGGGGTGGGGCAGAGAGGTCCCTTTGGAGCTCCATTTGGTAAAGTGAGTAGCAGGCTCCCTGCATTCCCTTCCCTTCACCATTTGCCTTGCCCTCCCCACCCTTCCTCTATCCTGGCTGGAACCACTGCCTCATAGATAATTGGTCTCAGAGGTCAACCGTATCCCAGCTTCTCGCCATTACACAGCAATTTGTCATACCTCAACTTACAAAGAAATAAGCTCTTTGTTCATTATGAAGTGTATGTAGAAGAGTCTGAGAGAGAATATTCTTCTCAAAGAAATGGAGAGTTCTCATTGGAACAGAGCCAGTTTGATGTTTGTTAGTCAAACCTTTGACCACGTATTTCCAAGTAATGGGATTCTCATTTTACATAATGTTTCTAACCTGATGTACCCCCTTTTTCTAAATAGCTACTTTCTTACTGCCTTTTGAAAGCAATATACAGCCAAATAATTTCAGATGACCACATCATTAGTTAATAAAATGCTGGGAAATAAAAATTTCCAAGATAAAAAAAAAACAACAGCACAGAATGTACTCACATCTGACAGGTTGGTTGAACTGCCCATCCTATAAAAATAATTATTATAGAATTATTATAGTAACTAGAGGCCAGTGCACAAAATTCTTACACGGGGGGGAGGGGGGGAGAGGGGAGAAGTCCCTCAACCCAGACTGCACCCTCTGCAATCCAGGACCCCTCAGGGGATATCCAACTGCCTCTCTCAATCTGGAACTGCTGGCTCCTAACCACTCACCTGCCTGACTGCCTGATCACCCCTAACCCTTCTGCCTGCCTTCCTGATTGCCCTCACCCCCGCAACCATGGGGCGGGCACCTTATTCCTCTCTCCAGCTGCAGCATGGCTGGTCCTCATTCCTCTCTCCCAGTGTTGAGTGACTGAGCCTTATGGAGTGAGGACCATTTGCATATTAGCTCTTTATTATATAGGATTAAATAGGCATACTCTATCCTTGCTAACCAATAAGGATTTGGTTTAATTCAAGCTTTATTAATTTTTGTGTATAAATGAGGAGACCATTCTTGCAAACATATAGAAGTATAAAAATATAGCATACTATGAAAAATAAGAAATGCAATTCGAAATAGCCTTTCAAATCCAGATGATGATAGGTGACAGATGATAGATGATAGATAGATAGATAGATAGAGCCAGAAAAGAGATAAATATGAAAATAAAGTTAGCAATATCTTTAAGAATTGAAAGTATACCCATGACTAGTGTTCTATATCTAGAATAACTCTAAGTTAAAGAGATTAGACAATTTCCTTTATCTTTCCATGATTTAAGTGGGTCTTTTGTATGGATTAAATAGTAAAGATAAACTTTATATGGATTTCTTAATTTCCATTTTAATATTATTTCAAGCAAGAAACAACTTTTTGTTTGTTTTCATTTATTTTAGTTTGACATAGTCAGAAAAAAATGTTGGTATTAATTTCCCCCAGTATTGCAGCTTAAGCTCTCATCTATTTGTGGTATTATTCTCAACAGAATTACATAATAATTAGATGGTTCTTCAAATAGTCCACTACAAAATCCCTCTGCAAAAATAGTAGCAGAAAGTCTGAATTTGTCTTTCCTTTGCAAACCATACAAATAACATATCCACTAGATGGCAGGGTGACACCATAATTTAAATCAAGACACAACTCAGCCTATGGATTGCTTTAAAGACAGTAACAGAGAGACCAATGGAAAGCAAAATG